ATAGAGAGAGAGAGAGAGAGAGAGAGAGAGAATCGGTTGAGTGACAAAAAGTTTTTATCAAAGAAGACGAAAAATATGAAAGTAGGAAAATGTGAGAGCGGAAACATGTATATAATAAATATAGAGAAGCAGCATTAGAAAAAATTGATACAAAGATGAAGATAAATATAAAATATATCGTGAAGAAAAAAAGAAAGACATAGGCATGAAATTAAAGGGGGATGGAGGCATTTATAATTCTCGTAAGCTTGTCGACTCTCGGAGAACGTCAATTAGCAATAGAAAGCTGAACAGAAGCTCATCTCATTGTCTGTTCCATCACCCCGGAAGATGTTTGGATGTGTAATAGATTGTTACTAGGCAGATTCGACTAATTAATTAAGCTGTGGTGCCTAGTTGTTTCTGTATCTTGCTCTCTCTCTCTCTCTCTCTCTCTCTCTCTCTCTCTTTATGCCTTTAGTTATAATTTTTTCGTTTGGCTAAATTTTGTTTATTTTGATTTTCGGACATATTTTCGTCCAGTAAATTAACACTCAGAATTTCTAAAATTAATATAACATTGAGTTTAGATTCATACTGCTAATCATTTTCATTACAAGTTATCTAAGTTTCCACAATTCATATGTACATAATTTATATGTATATATATATATATATATATATATATATATATATATATATATGTACATAGTATATTTATATTTATATTTCGTTATTACTAATTAAATTGCCTAAATCATAGCATATAGCAATATTTTTGTATATTTGTATTTTTTGTGACATGAAATGAGCTATTAATGAACATAGCAATGATAATTTATGTATGTATGTAACTTATGAATCTATGAATTATGTCTATTTGTATATATATTAATTAGTAGAATTAATATAATTATATATGATTAATATTTACAATTAATAATTACTCGCTTTTGAAATGTAGTATTCATAAAAATATAAGTAGATTATAAGTCCTTCTGTTATTTCGTTGTCATTTCCTTATATAGTTTTGTTATTATATAATAATTAATATTTTAATCAAGTAAACTCTTATTATATCATATATGATTATTGTGAATAATAGTATTTTACAGATATTAATATTATTTATTTTATCATAATGATAGATTTGAGTAGCGTATCAAATTAATAAAAATGTGCAATAATTTATTATTTATCCATCTATTACAATAATTTTTGTGTTTTATAATTGATAGTTAAATTATAGTATTCCAGATATTTCTCTCTTTCAATTGATTCTTGATTTTACTGTAACAATTGCCGCTTATGTATGAGTTGTAACTTAATAATTTCGAGTAATAATGGAACGTCTTTGTTATTTCTTACTTATCCGTTTTAATAGGAACCTGTAATAATCCTTGTTTCATTTATGAGCTCATAAAATATGACGAATGTTTTCTCAATTTATGTGCCATAATTGTATTCTTGATTTACAGGTCATAAACAACATTAATTGAATAACTAATTTATTTTAGGTATATGCAAAGTAGCCAGCATTTTGCATTCGTAAAGTGCATGATAATTCTTGTTAATAATAAATTAACATTAATTAATTAATAAAATACTAAAGAAAATAGTAATTGCCATTTTAAAGAAATAAAATATTTTATTTACGATTTGTCATTAGTAAAAGCTTGCATTGTAGATTTCACGAATATTGAAATTGAATAAATTCTAATCTTATCAATATTATTACAAGATATTACATCGATATTTTATGAATAAATTAAGAGTTTAAGATAAATAAGAATATTCGCCTGGATTTATTAATATATGAAGCTAAAGTAGTTGTATTAATTCATATATTTAATGGAATTTCATTTATACAAAATCAACAATCAAACAGAGAATTGTTTTAATTATAAATAAAAGTAATGTATACAATAATTATATTACTAATTAAATTCGTTTAGAATTTCAATTGCTGTTGAAAGCAATTATCGTACCATAAACTAAGCCAATTTTCTAAAACTGTTAAATATTTGTAGGATCTGCTTATCGAGAATACACCGCATTATAAAATAAAATCTTCAAGTAAATATTAGAAATTATAATGAATAGGTTTCTGTCATGAAGAGTCATGATATAAATTACATTTCTCTTTGTATAAATTTATTATAAAAAAAAAAATGACGGTAATGCGCAGATTATAAATTATATTTATAAAGTATAAAAATTTTAATTTTAAGCCAAACTTATTACACACTTGACACAAACACTTAACACACACGCGCGCGCGCACACACACACACATATATATATATATATATATAATTTTGAATGAAATAATGTATTTAATTAAAAATGAGGAAGTTAATTGAAAGAATAGCCGTTATTTGTTTTCGAAAAGACAAAAGACTGTACTTCATTATAATGTATAATGCATTTTATATTTTAATTGTTAAAAAAGTTAAAAAAAAAAGGCTAGTTTTCTCGTCGTAAGAACATTGAGTAAGTTGGATGGCGATAGAAGGTGGACAAGTAAAATAATAATAAATACTTGTTTGAAACAGATGAAATAGCCGTGAAAAGAGGATATTACAATGAGTATTAAACGTATTAAAGGAGAAAAGTAAAATAGATCAAAATAATGGAGTTGAAAATTCACAAATAAAGCATGCGCATGTAGCCGTAAGTGGAAACTTAATTCAACTGTTGACGTACTCTGTCCATTATTTTGCAGACGGTGGTTTAGCCCAGATCACGATGACGATGGATGTGAGCAAGTCGGAGACTAGTAAAAATGGCTCCACTCAGCAAGAGTGCCACGGCTGCCGCAAGACAATCAAGGAAAGGTGAGCAACGCAATATAGTTGTGGCAGCCTCGGCTGGGCGCCCAAATCAATTTAATCAGCGACGTAGATTTATGAGTTTATGCTCTTTGCTACTCGGTGGTTCCCCTCTCTCCCAACGCCGCCCACGCTGTCGTCCACCTGCCGTCCGTCATTTTCTCTCGATACACGTTAGTAGCGGAGCGACGTCGCTCTTGCTGTCGTCGACGATGTGGCTAGTGGCTTTAAGCGTCAACGCGTTCCGGGCAAACGGCTGACGGTAGAAGTGCGAAACGTTAAATGGATACGAGTCGGGGGATCCGCGCGACTTTCGTCCGATACGACTTTATTTTGGCGGGAAATTTATCCCTGTCAAATTTATCCTAACGAAGCTCGTGGCTATGAAGTATGAAGGTGGATTCGACAGTGACGAAGGTTCATGATCTACGTAACACTATATTTGGCAAATAAGATTTGGAATTAATAACGAGAACGGTAATTGGTGAAAATAATTGAATTATTTGACGAGCAATATTTATTTCTTGCGAGCATTGAAAAATTTTTACGTGATAGTTCCTATACTTTGCAGCTTCATTCATATACAGTTAGCAATTAAATTTGGAAGAATGAAAATCTCTATTCGCGACTTTGGGATTAAAAGTATGGAGGCCGTAATTCGTGTCGCATGATTAATCGATCCGAAAAAAAGATTAAAGCTAAAGTAGCTTAGAAATATTCAAACACGTTGAATATAATCGATAGTAAAGACGAAGCATTGACAAGAGAGTTTAGACACCATCTTCAAATATGAAATCGATGAGTTGTTAGTGCATGGAACTCCATTGAGTCACCGCTAGTTACCGTTGATCAGTCTTAAAAACTTCGCGAACGATCTCGTTCATGTACAATCGATAATCGGTAGAAAATACTTACGAGAAAGCGCGATAAGGAGAGCTTAAAATGTTAACGGCGAGTTTGTTTGTTATTAGGTACCTTCTGAAGGCACTGGACGCCTACTGGCACGAGGACTGCCTCAAGTGCAACTGCTGCGACTGCCGATTGGGTGAGGTCGGCTCGACCCTCTACACAAAGGCGAATCTCATTCTCTGCAGGAGGGACTACCTGAGGCTCTTTGGGAATACGGGACACTGCTCAGCCTGCAACAAGCCCATACCGGCATTCGAGATGGTCATGCGCGCCAAAACAAACGTCTATCACCTCGAGTGCTTTGCCTGCCAGCAATGCTATCACCGGTTGGTCCCGATTCTCATTTCTCTCTCCCAGGCCCATCGCCCATTCCCCTATTTTACCATTACTGCAAAGGGTCGAGTCGACGAATGCGTTATTTTCATAATCCCGTATTTTAAGGAGTCACGTGGAGAATAAGGTTTTATTTGGCTAAAAGGGCCATTTATGCATTTCATTGTTAAAAAAGACGAAGGGGTTATGGCTTGGAACTTTAAGCGATTGATACATGTTTTAGAATTTGGCAGTCTTAGGACTACGTATTTAACGTCTTTTAATGTACAGTTGGTTACGCATGCCTTAATTGAATTTCAATCAATTTACTCCGTCACTTATCCTAAAAGCAAAAGAAATTAATTTGAAATCGGAGAATTTCTTTTCATACGTTGAAGCAATTTAATTTAAGTCCAAGCGCTATGCAATATAACATCGATAAATTAATCTCCAATTTAATACAATATTATTAAGGATCTTTAATTGAGTAAGCGATTGAGTAAGTGATAAAACATATTATTATATGCGCGATTTACCTTGATCCGAAATCTTTTCAATTTCATAAATACAGAATCGCGTAATATACTGTCGCTTCAAATATCGAATAACCATCGGGAAAACTGGACGAATAAATTAACTATCTTTAAGGATATGTACCCTCATCGCTTTCATTAAAAAAAAAAATAATATTCGCATTCGTTTTAATAATCTAATTATGAGAAGATTTTTTCATTGTCGATTATCAAAAAATTATCGCTAAGGAACAATAAAGGTAGCCAAAATGAGTGAAGATGTTCATCTCCAGTAGCTCTTACCCTCAGAACTTATTCTCAGAACTGTCGAAACTTCAAATAATAAACGATAATTGCAGTGAGCATGGATAACACCGAGCAGCCATTGATTATAAATACAATTAACTATTTATTTAATTGCATTTTCTTACGAAAGTAAGACAATTGAGCAGAAAAATTTTTGGCTTGAGAGGTCCGTAAGAATCGTGCGGACGGATAGAAAAATGATCAAATCCCGAGATTCGACTGACCGACAGCTCGTCCGATTGTAAAGTCGAGCATTGAAGGAAGGATGTAATCAGTGGAGGTCTCGTTTAATCGAGCAAGACAAAAGTGAGCGCACCCACTCGCTGTCCTCCGATGCCAATGGCAAGGGAACGTCAACGCCAACCTGCTCCATTACCCGTGAATATATCAGCGATAACGCGATAATTATATAAGAAGTCAAAGTTCGCGCCTGCGAATCCTCCGCGGCACAAGGGGCGTAGGGGCGGCATAAGGGATGGGATGGCCGTGTTGTAGCGGAGATCGGTGGAGACCGGGGAGTGGGATTGTCAGGCACCGGGCTAAGGGTGATTTCCCAACTGGCCTGTAAAGAGGGCGGGCCCGCGCAACCGGACGGCATGAGAGCGCGTGTCTCGAGGCGTCCTTCCTGCCCCGATGAAAAAAAATGAAATTACCGAGCGCATGGAGAGCGGACGGGCAATCAAAACGGATCCTCGAGGTATTCAATTTTCTCGCTTCTCCTCGCCCAATGCCCCCGACCACTTTCATCTTCTGCTTATATTTTTTCTCTTATTCCCTTTTTTTTCCTTCCACTTTTTCATTTTGGCGTAGGTGAGCGCGATGCGCGGGAATACAAATGTGGGAATTAGAATATATTAATTTTCATTTTGCTTGGTAGCTTGTTCTTCACTCGGACTCTCGGACTTATGGCGCGAGGTGTCGACGAATTCAATTGAATTTTCATGGTTGGCTGTTGGCGGTCGATCAACAAGCCAGATCCGTACTTATTCAAGAATCTCCACGTTTAACACGGATTTTATATTTTAGACCATGTTTTTTCATATACCCATACACACACACACACACACACACACACACACACGCGCGCGCACATATATATATATTATTAATTTTCTTAGCAGATTATAGAAAGTAGAGGGGAACCAAAGGATGTTATAAACTGGCTTTTGCGCTTCGTTTCATGCATTCAACCATTATCACTTCGAAATTTTCGATAATATGGCGCAATTAACATGAAAGTCATTCTATGAGCATCGACTTTATCAAATGAATCCAATTGACTGGTACAATTCAACGTTCATCGATCGTTTCCCCGTTTACGCATCACTAATATCACACATTGTTTCAATATCATCAATGCCCTCTAAATCCAATGCAAAGAATTCCGTAATCTTTAAAGCAATATCGAAAGATATTTGAATTTCCGTGGCTGGCGCATTAAACAGGCGGTTAAATTACGGGAACTTGGTAAAAAAGGAAACGCGAATAATCGCTCGCGTGCTTTAGCATTGGCTCGGATGTTGAAAGAAGGGAGAGATAGAGAGAGAGAGAGAGAGAGAGAGAGAGAGAGAGAGAGAGAGTGATAGGACGCAGCGCGGCGCGGTACCCGTCGAGCCAATATCGTTACTTCGTCGGGATCCGCGTGTATCTGCTGGGCAAACAATAGTCGCACAAAGGGGCATCAATTTTACGTTTTTATCATTGGCCATTGTCGGCCACCCTCGTTCTCTCGCCCCCTTTTCGACAATGCCACTCTTTACGGCCCTCCCAACCTCGTCTCTGTTTGCGCGCTCCCGTTGTCTCCACTCGCTCTTCTACGTTGACAACTTCTGTCTCTATCTTGGCACGCTAGATGCGAATTACGCTGGGCTTTTGGATGCGAATTGTTTGCGTTTTGTTGCTCGCACGTGGCACCCAGGTCGCTTCGATTTCGCCATCGAGAGTTATTCGCTCGCTTGTTGCAAACCGCCCCCCCCGCCACCCATCTGCGCCGCCGTAATTGCGAGAGTCACTTGTAATAGTACAAAAGACTTGTAGTTAAATGAGATATATGCTCACTCGTGTCGTGTATCGTCTTAACGGATTGGTTGCATTGGCGTATTCCCATAAATTTGTTCTATCCTCATTTTAATCAATAGCCACGTGATAAAGCCGGTATCATCCGTAGACTGAGACGTTTAAAGACGTGTAATAAAACATATGTAAATATCCTTGATATGGATGACGCGAATTAACAAATGCTTAGCATCTAGTAGTAATGGAGGTACGAATTAAAAAGTCGATCATTATGTTGAAAGAACTAATCAAACGAAAGTAAATAAAATATGTTTCCTAAGCTTTTTAATAAAAATCTCTCTCTCTCTCCCCCCCCCTCTCTCTCTCTCTTTCTCTCTCTCTTTATTTTCATTTATGTGTGGGTGGGTGGGTGTGTGGAGCACATTATAGCGATTCACATGGCAAATTTATTTTCAGCCAAGCTAGTCAAGTTTCATCGTTCGAGCTAAATGCGAATGAAACTTCGCTCTCTATCCTTGTGAAAAGTATATTAATTATTATGGAAATTTCAAGCCTTAAAATATTCAGTTTGGTAGGCACGAAATGTAATGTCAAATTTACAAGTAAGATCCCAAAGTGCGCGAACAATAAGCCACAAACATGAAAATGAAAAGCCGGTGAAAATAACGCTGCTGCTTTGCTCTTTGCAAGCTAATCGAAAATCCTCGTCTCCATATCGGAAAAAAAAGACGCTAGAAAAACGAAAGAGACACGCGCGATGAAGAGACGGTACACCTGGACGAGGCTATAAAAAGTGTTCCTCTCCGTCCGAAAAGCTCGGTCCTCAATATTTGATTTTGTATTGGAGCTGGGCTGGCATCGACTCGGCATCTCCGACTACTTTCCCGACACATACGGAAAAGTATAAAATGGCACCCTAATGGGATCGTGCTCCCGAGCACAGCCACACATCGACGTTGGTGAGCTCATTTACTTATTCAAAGTGCGCACCGGATATGCAGCAGTTGTCGGTCTCGCGCGACCCTCTTTAAAGATTCAGCCGAGTTATCTGAACGCGCGTCCAGATTGAAATTTCCCATGCAAGGACGCGATCTCCCGTCTCCTCTTTTTGCTCGCTCCTCTGCGGATTTTTAATATTTCAACCGACCGTATATCCTTGCGCTAGTTTTGGTATGCCTTCTATTCTTGCTCATAGGTGTGTGCGCACACATAGAGGCACTCAAAGAGCAGCGGCTGTAGCCTTGACTAATGCCAGGCTCTTTATAAATCTCGTTGGAATCAATCCGAAGAATTGTACTCGTTCGCAGATATGAATTTTCCTGCACAATGTTACGTTGATAAATTTAGGTGTCGTAATAGTCAAGCGCGTAATCATCATTAAAATTGCTCTCGCATATAAAATAATCGGGTTCTGTTATACATTCATTATACACTATCTCAATCTTACGAAATAGACTTACCGAAGAGAATAAATGTAAATAAGATCTTAATAATAATTTTATAATATAAATATATTATTACTTAGGAAGTTAAGCTTAACTTGGAGTAAATATAGCTTCGGATTTCAGCCATTGTTTGTGAAGTAAATCATATAAGGTAACAGTGTACTGAAATCTACCCAATTACGTTAAATAAATTTCGTGAAGGAGAGTTAATATTGTTAAAATTCTGATATGGTTTCCTATTTCAATGTATTATGAAATGTATCCAATTATTATTATTCATCGGATAAATTGAAAGAATAGAGAGAGAGAGAGAGAGAGACAGATAGAGAGAGAGAAAGAGAGATAGAGAGAGAGAGAGAGAGAGAGAGAGAGAGAGAGAGAGAGGGACTATGAGTGAGATTGATAAATTACTTAAATGAAAACGTGTAATATATTATTCTTAAAATCCTTTCAATACTTAATCGACATTGACGCGCACACACACACACACGCGCGCGCGTGCGCGCATATATATATATATATATATATATATATATCATTACATATAAACGACATTATATAGTTATATAAATTTTTGAAAATTATCTAAAATCAAAAAATTTCATTTGTAAAATAATTGCGTCGATAAATTGTAGAGAAATATTTCTAAAGTCATCTTGTTAACAGCATGATTTTGTAATTTTGTAAAAACTGCACTACTTTGCTGATTGGATGAAAAGTTTCTTTCTCCTACCAATTGAGAATCTTGTAAAACGGTGATCAGAGATCAGTGGGAATTCGCAAAATGCTAGCTCAAACGAGGCGGTCTAGGAAATCGTTTGTAAGAGAAACGGACGGCGTCCGAAAAGCACGAAAATAGAATATCGCGTAATGGAGATACGCGACAAGAGGTAAAATAAAAACATGTCTCTGCAGTTTCTTCTTTCAAATCTGGACGACCAGGCATCACGTAAACTTTTCTACTAACCTTCGATTATACTCTGTCTCTCTCTCTCTCTCTCTCTCTCTCTCTCTCTCACTGCGTACAATCCTCTCGCCTCTCATTCCTCTCGTGTGCTTCCCCTCTGTCGGGTGGTCGTTTAGTCTTTAATTGGATGCCCGTTAAATTAGACCGAACGTCTTTTTAGGAGAGTAGCGACCGCTCCAGGGAAAGGCAGAGAGGAGGGAGAGCTAATTGGATCGGTAAATCATCCCCGTAACCGAGGGAGTGGCAACCGGAGCTGGGCGCGACAGTCGCTCGCGTATACAGAGTCGCGAGTGCGCGCAACCCTTTATTCCGCGTTATTACAGTCTAAAGTAACCCCCCCCCCCCCCCCCCCCCCTCTCTCTCTCTCTCTTTACCTCCTCTTTTGCCTTCCATCGCCTATGCGTTCGTCTATCCCACGCTTAAGGTAAAATATCGGTCTCTGCCACCTCCCCATCCCATTCCCACCCCTTATCCTAGTTCTCCTGCAGTAAGGAGGAGGGTTGGGACTAGGATGGTCCTGACTACTGGAGCGTCCCCCGACGTAATTTCGCCTTCGAAAGTCGCGCGCTCTGTTCGCGTCGTCGTCGTCGTCGTCGTCGTCATCGTCGTCGTCATAGTCGTCGTCTCATTTAGTGCCGAGAACGAGGATAGAATAAAGTCGCTCACTAATACCACTATCTCTCGGTTATTTTGGGCTTGAGAACGGCATCTAAACCAGATAGCGAATAATCCGTATATTTATCGGTATTAATTCCCTTTGTCGTCTTGTATTTGAGGAAAGTTCACGTCAATAGATCGATTCATTCACGCACGCCAAGTCTTACAAACTACCGACCTCATTTTACAAATGCAATAGTTCTCTTTATATCTTGAAAGATCAAATCCTTATTTCATTCGTAATCCTGACTTTTTATTAGGGAAATTAGTGTCTTACACTCGACAAGCGATATTACATCGAGTAATTTAAGCTTTCTCTCTGCCTTTATTTATACGGACGATCCAGGACGAAGAACCTTTCTTAATCGCTTAAGCGCAGCAATACTACTAACTAAAACATTGAAATATTTCTAATCCCGCAGTTAAACTTTAATTTCTTGACCCCGAGATATGTAAATCGGGAAAATGATCGGACAAATTCAGGTATCTAAAAACGTTTCTAAAAAAATCCTGTAGGCAAAAGAAGCGATGGCCGAGGAACGGACCCGCCAAGAGTAAATAGGCTCGAAGTAAAGGGAAACCCTTGGATTATGGAAGCCAGCGATTGCGCATATCGTAGTGGGCCAGATCGTGAGCGAGTGCCTGCGAATTTGCGATGTCTCGCGGCTATTCGCATAATAGCCAGTTGGTGAGCCTAACGAGCGCCAATTCTAGGCTCCGATTGCGAATATCAGCAGTCGGCAGACACGTGGCTGCGCATCGGCGCCGACTTGGGCTTCTTACACTCGCGCTTTACATCGGTCATATCGTTTCGCGGCAACGCGCATAGAGGCGCAGGACGATTAATTTGCAAAGAGGGACGCTGCGCGCCTCTATTGGTACATCAACAATTAGCGACCGCAACTATTGTTCCTCATATTCGCCGTCATAACGGTCATAACTTCATAACGGCCGTGAGTTTTTACTCGCGTCAGGACTTGATTGGCGTTCGCTCGGCACCGAAGATTTCATTCGGACGATGAATTTAACTGGCCAATAATGGCCCCTTCCAATTATAATTATGCCCGCATTCACTGTTTATTCGAAAATTTGAATTAAAGCCGTGCGTGATTGTGTTGGTGCAATGTCAATCAATTTTATTCCATTTTCACTAAATAAATTTATAAGAATATATGTCGGCATATAAATCGTACCGATTTTCAGTGTGAGTTGTAAAATTGGCTCTCTCTCTCTCTCTCTCTCTCTCACTCTATCTATCTCTCCCTCTCTATCTCTCTCTCTCTCTCTCTTTCTCAAACTTTTTTCTCTATTTTCTATATAAACTTCTTCTAAATTTTTTGATACCACTAGTGTAAACCAGCACGAATAAAATGTTTAAAGTATTTTAGTCCACTATAGATTATATAATTAGATAAATCTCTAAAAGAATATTTACACTTTAGTAAATGTAATGAATCTTGTAACATAAATAACAGATCCCATTCCACAATATACGCACACGCGCGCCTACGCGCGCACGTTATTTATGATATATAAATATTATGTAAATTGTGTGCGCGTTTGTTTGTGTGTGCCTGTGTGTAACTGTGTGTAACTGTGTGTAACTGTGTACGTGCATGCGTGATAATATATTATTTATGAAAAACAAAGATGTATTGTAAAAATCTGAGAGGTTACGAAGCTATTTTGCCGGATATTTGAATTAGATTTAAATATATCATTTTACACGAATTGATATTATTTAAAGTAGGTACTTTTATAAGTTCTTTTTTTTTTTTTATATAGCAATAATATAATAAGCCATAAATAGATCGAAAATAGATCCATACATTATCAACAAAAATTTTTTATAAAACTCGACGCTAAGTTAATTTTACTTTCAAGCTATAAATTTAATGCCATTTAAGAAAATGAACAATAAAATCCAAAAAGTTATTTTTAACTAAATATTTATTATTAACGGTTGGCCGACAATGAATACAAATGAAGCGAATAAATTCGATATCAGTTTAATAATAGCTCCTTAAATTTCAAAACCATTCGCAAATATATTCCAATAGAGCGGATATTTGAAATATGTCGATTTTGTTTGTTCAAGATTTTGCGTGGGTGATCGCTTCTATTTATGCGAAAATAAAATCCTCTGCGAGTATGATTACGAAGAGAGGCTGGTGTTCGCCAACATAGCGCTTCACCCGCCAACAACTCTCGCTCATCTCAAAAGGCAGCTGCCACCGACGCCCACGCCTCCCGGACAAAGCGTCCATCCTGGTCATAATCCGATGCAGCAGCAGCAGCAGCAGCAGCAACAGCAGCATCAGCAGCAGCAACAGCAACAACAACAACAACAGCAGCAGCAGCAGCAGCAGCAACAGCAGCAGCAACAGCAACATCAGAATCAACAAGCGCAAATGCTTGGACAACAAATGGCACAGCACAATCATGTCTCGAATGTAAGTTGTGACTTTACATTTCAAACAACTAGTCTTTATTATTTTCTTAATTATTCTTTTAACACTATCACACTTGTACCTTCTTTAAACTTATATCATTATGTTATATTATTATATATTATAACATATTGTATATACTATGTTATATAACTTTTACAATCATGGAATTGCGAACGTATAGCTTATTTAAAATTGCATTAGTAGGGCAGAATTGTTCATTCTCCGAATAAATTTCAAAAGCTGTCGAATGGTTGTTATGGCGTTTCACATTTAAAGTTTCGTTTAAATCATCAAAGTCATTAGAAAACACCACGAAAAAATGCCTCGGAGTGCTATTTTACAATTTTCTTTTACAAACCATTGATAAGATCAAACGGGATGAATACGTTCCTAATTGCATTGGTCACTATTGTCCGCTGACGTAATAATAAGGTCGATCAATCTGCCAAACTCCAAGGGAGATCTCGGGTTGCAAATGTCGATTGGACTTGGCGGGACCGGAGGGAGGGAGACAGCCCTAGTTAAAGAAAGAATAGGGCCCCAATTGACGAAAGTCGCTCCGGTCGTTTGTTCCAGGGTCAGATGCCGGGTGGTACGCCGTCAGTTAACGGGACCCCGTCGATTGGCATGGGGGCGACGCGCGGCGGACCCGGCGACATGAACAACAATGGACTCTCGGGCCCGGGGCTCGGGCCTGTAAAGGCGGCTCCCATGTCGATGCAGGCTCCGACCAGCTGAGAGGAGGCTGCTCCACCGCTCAAGAAGCTACGCTGCCTCGACGGCTACTGAGATCCCGATACCGCGGCCACCAGGAACTCGTCCGGGGATGGTCAACGCGCCCCGAGGGAATCTCAGAGACCGTGTACATATAAATGTAGCTCTTGCGAGCGGACGTGATTAATGCGTCGGCCCGAACGGCCCGCTCTTCGCTTCACGTTGTTTTACACTTTTGTTGTTATCCACGGCGATCGCCTGGCTTCTATATCATCATCATCATCATCATCATCATCATCATCATCATCATTAGCATCATTAGCATTATCATTAGCATCATCATTAGCATCATCATTAGCATCAGCATCACCGTCAAAAATCGTCGTCATTATTATTATTATTATTATTATTATTATTATTATTATTATTATTATTATTATTATTATTATTATTATTATATTTTGAATATATATATAGATATGCGTGTGCATGCGCGAGCGCGAGCGCGAGTGTGCGCGTGTGCGAGTATATGTATGTGTGTATGTGTATATGCACGTATGTGAATGTGTATGTGCGCGCGTGAATGTGCATATGTATGTATGTTTATGTATGTATGAAACATCCATTATTAGCCGCCGTTATTGATTTTTTTCTTTCTTTATTACTATTTTTTATCTGTAAAGCGTAAAAATACGTCGATCGACGAATTGATAAGTGCGCGCGCCTGTGCCATGCTTCGTCGCAAAATTCACCGGTAGGATTCGCGCCAGCCAAGTGATTTCGAAAGTTTATGGATCGTCGATAAAGTGCGCGTCAAGTGTGCAGAGGGTGCGATGGTTTTTTTTTCAAAACGCTAATAAATTATTGCGGTTACGAATGAAGCGCAGCCCTCTAAGATCCACCGTTCGATATGGATCGATCGTTATCGATTTGTCGGTAGTGTTTCTAGTTAATTTACTATTACTGCCGATCCAACCGACGGAAATGACGAGCGGTAGATTTGTTCCCATTTACAAATTATCACCTGATAGATAATCAACGTCGGAAAATCGCGATTGACCTGTGGATCGAGAATAACGAGTCTGAAGGTAGATTAGAGGAATTGGTTTCCATACAGCTAATACCAAAGATTATAACATAAGATAATTTGCCCTCGTTACGCGATGAAATTTCTTTCGGTATAACAAATCCTCGAAATTCCTACTTTATAAGCATAAAATGTTCAATGCATACGTAAAATAAAAAAATATATATATATATTGTTTTTCGACGTAATACTTCTCTGCACGTATTCCTCCTTCCCCTCCGTATTTGGAGATAAAATTAAAAAGAAAAAACTCGAAACCGATGTGTTTTTTGTTTTGATTTTTTTTGTTTTTTTTTTGTTTTTTATTTTTTTGTTTTTTATTTTGTTATTTCTTTGCTTGCCGTGTACCGGGGCTTAGTCATAGCTTTACAGTAAAACCAAAAGAGAAACTACTTGTACCAAATGACCATAACAGTTTATCGAGCGACAGAGAAAAAGTAATTACATGATAATGCAACGCGTGCTAGAATGTGAATGCGAGATTTGTCGTACGACAAGAGTTACTGGTCAGGTAATAAGAAAATATATACGCAAGTGAGAATGGTACGTAAGAAGAAAATTGTTATTATATAAATTTTATCTCATTTTCGGAGAATGGAATATTCGTATGAGTGTATAAAAATAATGCGAGACGAATGTGTTGCGAATATTAAAGGGACAAATTCGAATGATTCAGAAAAATTGTATATTTCGTAAAAGCAGTATAATTTAGTACAAAGCATTATGGCACGTGTATAAAAAAAAAAAAAAAAATTAATATGGCCGATACAAAGAAATACGTTCTATACTTCGGCTCTGTATAAGAATAATATACTTTATTCTCTCTTTTTGTTAATCATCTGTATATATTATCATAATTAGTGCACTATTGTTAGCGTATTATGATCAATAGGGTTCCATTAATATACGAAGAAAAAAAAAAATACATTCTTATTAATACCTTAAAATTTGCGTCAATTTTTTTACACCCTGCAACTAATCGATTTCTATTATAAAGAATAATTAAGAAATAAAATTTTCAAATTTATTGAATATTTCAGTAAGCAGTTGTGCTAATATTGTGTACAAATTATTGAAATACAACATACGAAAAATATTTTTATTTTCAACATTACACCTATATATATATATATATATATATATATATATATAGGTGTAATGTTGAAAATAAAAATATTTTTCGTATGTTGTATTTCAATAATTTGTACATACAATTTTAAGTCTATTTACGAATGCAAATTCTTTGAATTGTACTTATCCAAGTCAGCTGGCAAGTATACAATTTATATTTAAATGTACGTATTTATGTAATTAATATTTGGATTTCTATTTAATTTGTTATTTGCATAAAAATTCGATTATGAATAGATTATCTAGTATAATGTATGTACTCTTTAACTAAATTCTAATGTTAATTACAAATTATATAAAGTATAGACGATGTATTTTAATGTTACATTTTTCGGTAAACATACTAACGAAATACTGAATTTAATTTAAATAGAGAAGCATTCAATCATCATGTAAATCATTATCGATAGCTTTAACTTAATACTTTACATTTTAAATTAAAAGTAACGAAATAAAAATGTATTGTAAAATATAAGCAAACGGTTAAAATTTTTTATTATAATCGTTTAATTTGTTATAATGATTTATATTTTTCGAATTAATAAATTTAAAGAATTTATCATGTTGCTGTAATAATTCTGCACCTAACTCTGATATTGTCAGTTGCCTTTTATTAAATATTTGTTGGATATTTGTGCTTGGCTTAATTATCAATGGCTTTGTTTTTTATTATTAATGTTACTAATTAATAAATTAATGTTACATGATCCTTATATTTTGAGGTTATATTATAAATTGTTAATATAATAAAGCAACAGAATTATTATATTTACGAAACAGTACACCATCTGCTATAATACAAAAGTTTTTCGTTTATAATGTAAACTATTATGTAAATCATTATGTATTATTAATAAAAGAAAATCTGATTGCTACGATTAATACAGTATGAAAGCTATTAATGTAAATTCTCATATCAACAGATTTCATTTATGGTTCTACAGATTCATTTTTACGAAAATCTCATTAAAATATCATTAAACATGTATTGCTATAGATAAACTATATAGTTCGATTAAACGGATAGTGTAAACAAGAAAATTATAAGTATATATTATGATTTTATATTCATTGATAAATTCATTGATATTCATTTCATCATATAAAAGAGAATTCAATTTTTTTTTTTTTTTTTTTGCTTTACTGTAAAGCCCAAGCACGCGTAGCCGTCATACCAACTTTCATGATTCAATGAATCATTGACTCGTGGCCTCATCGCCGTTAAATCGGACTCGAAAAATTTTATGCTCCATAGCAGGAAAAGAGTAAATACGTGTGTGAGAGAGAATTGAATTGAGAGTGAGAGTGCGGGAGGGAGGGAGGGAGGAGAGCAGGATTTTGCCGGTTAGATCGAGAGGGGGAAAGCTAAATCTCGCGGAATTTCTCATCGTGAGAAAATTTGACTTCCGCGGCGTTCGTGCAAAGGCAAAATCGTTCGAGTCGCCCAGCGCCGAGTTTTCTAGAGTTTCAACGTCCCTATTATAAAGTCTTCACCAAATATAATAACATCTGACTCCGCAGTCTCGAAGGCATTAAGGAAATTGAGTGCCCTGCTTTCCCGCTCCCGCCCCATCCGGCCCTACCGCACTGCTAAATCGTCCAAGTTCCGACTAGTGGCGGGGGGGGAGGGGATACAAGGCCCCCGATACGCTGCATACACCCCGAATTATTCGAAGCCGCCCTGTTATTGAGCGTGTATCGACTCACTAGTAGTGCCGTATAGGATAGATATTCCCGCACGATTCTCTAGATTGCTTTTTACTCTTCTCCATCACGACCCTTTTGTCCATCCCATTCTTCCTCCTCGAGCTGCCATGATCATCCGACTTTTTTCCTCGTGCGATCAGAATGGTTTTTCCTTTAATAGCTGGGATCTTTATGGTTCAACTTTCCTTATCTCGTCGTCGTTTATAATAAAATGCTCTTTAATTTTGAATTAGCCGGAATTAACTGCATATGCGTCGGTTAGTGAAATTGACACTTTTTACGATTTAGGCTGTCCGAAACTTTAACAATAACGTGTCATTTCACTTTCTCCATTGTTATCCCTGTGAGTTGGGAGCGTAGCCTCAAGAATTTTGTCGTTATAATTCCCACGAACATGCCAATAACATTCTGTTATTCTACTATAGTCTTTATATTGTTTAACGAAATGATTTCTTCACGAGGTTCATTACTTTAATGATCGTAATTAGATAAATTTTGAGATTGTTTTTCATTGATTTATATAATTTTCTGCCGGTATGATTAAATATATGTTAGTGCAATAATCAATATAAGCTCGAGAATTTTTCACAAATGCATTTGCATCGTTGCAGATCATATTCTATAATTTTCATAAACAACTGTTGTCCTGATTTTCAATTAACTGAATATTTCATTACACTGTTAATTTTGTTTATAGAGAATAAATTGGTTTAGAAAGGTTATTTTAATTTTTTTTTTTTTTTTTTTTTTTACTTTTAATTAGTTCATTGGTTTGAAATTTCCAAATTACTTTTGTTCTTTAATTTTTTTTCATAAATGTATACTTAATTCTTACAATTGCTGCACTCATAGGATTTTCTGATTAAATTTGATAACAATTATCATTAGGCGTAATGTACATTAGGTGTAATTTATTAATTGCAATATTGTGGTTTCTTGATTTTCAATATTATATTATTATTAAGTAATACTGCAGGAGAAAATATGCCAATTACACAAAGAATTTCATTGGCATATATTTGTGATTAAAGAACTGCCAGTTATTTATCAAAATGTCATCTTAATTTCAACTTTTGTTACGTTGTAAAATTTTTATTTCATAATAACATTCTCAATTAGTTGTCAATTAACTCTCTAGCTAGAGTGTACATCATTTATTTTTTTTTTTTTTTTTTTTTTTTTTTTTTTTTTTTATTTGTTTGGACATAAGATGAGCGCTGTTTAAGCCAAATACTTTCTCGTTAAGCTAATGTATGCTTTAGTTCCATTGTATTTGCTTTGCATTTTAAATTTAAATTCTATATGTCAAATAATCCCCAGTAGTTAGGCGATGAAGTGTAAATAAAAAAGAAATATCGATGTCACTCCGTACTTGTAG